CGACCGCCCCTACAGTGAAAATATCTAAAAAAAAAAAAAAAACCACATGGGACAGGAGGCGGTGAGAGGGATGCTGCATAGCAGGGTCCTCACAGGATGAAGACATTTTTTATAAAATTACTTATTTTGTTTCATTTATTTATTCACTTATTTTCATTTGACCAGAGAGAAACAAAGAGAGAGAGAGAGGGAGCGTGAGCTAGCGAGCCACCAGGTCCAGGACTTGAACCATGGTTGGCTATGTGGGAGTGTCCAGTGCCTTAACCACCACGCCACCTGCCGGCCCCCCTGGATGGAGAATTTGAAGAAAAAGGGTGGTGGTATGAGGAGGCCCTGTTGGTGCTTTCTGTCTGTCTGTCTGTCTGTCTCTCTCTCTTGCGTGCACACTTTGGCTCTCCCTCGTTCATGCAGGTGCACACACCCTCTGGCATTAAAAAGAAAAAAAGAAACAAATGAAAATGAAGTGAAAGGGGATAGACAAGGTGCTGCCCAAGTTCGGGGCCTCGATGTCCTAAGACTCTGCACCCAAAGAACAAGTGAGACTAGGAGGTCACGGGTGTGAGCTGAGCTTCAGACAGGCGCGGAATTCCGGGTGCCAGCAGAGCTGTGTGACCTCGGGCCAGTGACGCAAGCTCTCTGAGCTGCTGCTGTAGGCTGGGGTAGTACTATTGGGTCGCTGGGGAAGTCACGTCACTTTCCTGCACAGGGAAACATACACACATACATCATGACTGCCGACGACCTGATAGTACCCCGCCCATTCCTGCCTGGGATATCACAGGAGGCCTGGTCACACACGTGAGCAGCAGGGACAGTGCCTGGCACCAGGCAGGGGGCCCGTGAACGGGAGTCCCTTCCTGATGGCCCTCCCCGGGTGATTCTTCACTGCGAAGCCGGGTGCACATAGCAGCCCCCGATGCGTGGCCTGGGGACGGGTGCGCAAGGTTTGCAGAATGAATAAACGAGCGTGAATGGGACTTGAACCCCAATCTTCCAACACTGTGCTGTGCCCCTCCCTCCCTCCCTTCCTCCCTCTCTCCTTCTCTCTCTCTCTCTCTCACACACACGCGCACACACACACACACACACACTCATAGCCCCTGTAGGAGGGGTGTCAGTGCAACCCCCTCACTCCTACCCAGATCCTTAGTCAGCAAAGACACTGAGCCCCCTGAAGCTGGCCCCACCACCCACACGCGTCTTCCTGCGGTCTGCTCTCTCCACAGACAGGCCGTTTAGCAGCCTCCCTGGGGGACACCTCATTTCCC